TTTAAAAGAATCTTCCTTGTTCTTCCTTAAAGAGCCATGTTTTACAAAAATTTTTCATTACAAACCGTTGTACTTGCTTACTCTCTATGGTCCAGAATGCTTCAGGTTTCCTGACGGCAAAACCAACTCTTTTTAACACTATACACCCATCAGCACAGGGGCTCAGGTAATGGTTAAGGATTCATTAAAATTTTACATTATCAGTGAAGGAATCCAGAAAAGAGAAAGAAATCGCAAACACGGTTACTATAAACAAACTATTTTGCTTTCTTAATCAATATTGAAAATCATTTGTTAAACATCTATCATGATCCAGCTCTTTCACATACCGGGAGATCATTTCCTTTATCCTCACAACAACCCCAGATTCATCGTGCAACCAAATATTTAATACCTTGCTCAAGGCCACACACCTGATAAACTTGAATTCTGTTATGTGACTATCAGGTTTACCTGATAGAGCACCAGGCTCCCTGCTCCAGCACTTTGGTGCACCCATACATAACTACAACCCAACATCTTTGATGAAATAAAACTCAACACTCAGAGCCATCCATTCGGACTCAAAGCGTCCCTATAGGGCAGGTAGAACTGTCCCCGTGGTTTCAGAGTAAGCAGCCTCATCTTTCTCATGGGGAGCCAGGTGACCCCGCAGTCAGCAGCCTAAGTGGTAACCCACTGGGCGACCAGTGCTCCTATTTAGGCAGTGTGAAGTGAACTCCTTGCAGGCTTTCTGTGATAACCAGCTAAAGAAGTAAACAAGTTAAAAACAGGGCAGCTTTACATTAATGAAAGAACTGGATTCTCAAAACCACCTTCCAAGACAGAAATGGCCATTCCTACGCAGCTGAAGGAGTTCAGGCTGTGTGTGCCTAATCATTCTTCTCCCAATATATCTCTAGGTTTGTGTTTTTTTTCAAAAAACCGTGGCCGCAGAAATTCGGGACACATTTTGAGACTAGCGCCACAGCAGCTCGTTTTTCTACTGCAAATCTGTGATTCCCAAGAGTGTGTTCCACAACTCGTCTGTCCATTGGCGACTATTTAAAATGATTGACGGGGCTCCCGTTGACTGGTTCGGCAAATGTGATGACCATCCTATGTGGGGAGAGACAAGGCATCCAGGTACAGGCAGGGGCGTGAGAACATGACTGCAGAAAGGATTGCATTACAGCCCAAAACTCCGGGCTGCGGTGCACGCTCGCCCTCCCCGCCTCCTCTCACTTCCCCCGCCACGGAACCATTCCTTCCTGGAGTCAGATTCAGGGCAGCAGGCAAACTCCTACCTTGGTCTGCACACTCTTATCAAACTTGTCATTTTTGAAGCTAAACGTATTCTGGTGCCTCTGAGGCCTGGAACGAGCCACGTTCCCTTTCTGAGAACTCATCGCGGAAACCACGAGCACCAGCTCTCGCCGGGAAGAGCGTGGAACATCCCACTGAGGTGACGCGTCTGTCGTGACCCGGAAGTAACTCCTCCCGGCTTCTCTGCCCCCGCCCCAGGTCATCCCACGTGACTTCAGACTGAGGTTTAAGGACACTCTCAGGCCCCTTCCCAGGGTCTGGCCATCTCCGCGAGGTCCAGCCTCGACCCCTCCCCCCGCCCCCGGCTCAGCCCGTCTCCCACGCCGGGCGACCGAGTCCCGCTCTCTTCGAAATGGGAATTGCCCCATTGGTTGGAACGTGGCTATCCATCAACGCGAAGGGGCGGGGAGCCTTTACTCCTATTGGCTGTTCTTTACCGCAATCCCCGCCTCCTGCTGACTCGGCTCGGCCTCTGCCGGCGCTTGGAACGCGACGGACTCTGTTAGGCGGCGTGTGATTGGTGGAAAGCGGACTAGGGTGGGCCCTGGTCTCCGCCCCGCCCTCCCGCGGGCTGGAACCCGGGTCAGCCTTGGCACCTTCTTCCAGTCAGAGACCAACTCCCGGCACCGAGAGGGTGCCGCTCGCCCCTTCGGTACCCTCCCAGCCGCCCTCCGGTGACGGGAGCGAGCCCCGCGGCCGGGAGCCTGGAGAGGAGCGGGAAGAGGAAGATTAAAGAGAGGAAAAATTAAAAGATCGGGCCGGATCTGGGTGCTCCCTGCGGTGCCAGAAAGGGAGGGGGCGGCGGCGCCTGCGACCACGGCCGCACGGGACGTGAGGCCCGAGAGTAGCCGGCGGCGGCGGCGGCGGCCGCTCCAGCGCCTCGCGCCGGGGCCGTTAGTCAGCAGAACGCGAGCTCGGGCCGAGGAGCAGGGCCGGTGCGAGGTGAGATTCCTGCGCGCGAGCCGGGCCCCGCGACCCTTCCGACCTCCCTCGCCCAGGCGCCGGGGGCTGCAGCCCAGTCCCCCGGCCGCGGCAGGGCTGCCCGCAGGCGGGAGCGCGGATCTCGCCGCCTCGAGCGCCGCGGGTCCGCAGAGCTTGCCTCCGGGCCCTTTGTGCCCCGCGCTCGGGCGCCGGCCCCGCCGCTGCAGGTGCGTGTGGCCGCGGGGGGCCGGGGGCACTGCGGCGGCGGCGGCGGCCGGGCTGGCCAAGGGGGGCGCTAGGCCCGGAGCCGCAGCGCGCGGGGGAAGGGCCGGGCGGGGGAGGGGAGCAGGAGGCGTCTTTGTTGTTGGCGACTGGGGGGATCCCTCTCGGCGCGGGAGAAAGGCGCGGCGAGGAAGCCGTCCCCGATCGGGGCTGGATTCGTGGGCGGATTCGGTGCTGGTTTCGTGAAAAGGAGAGGTAGGGGGTCCCTGCGATCCGCGAGGCTGCCGGGGCACGGGGAGGGGATGCAGGGACAGGAGGACTAGGGAAGGTCTTGGCTGCTCCTTGCAGAGAAGGGGCTCGTTTCCCTCCCTTTGCTTTGCTCCCGGTGCACGAAAACGTGGGGTCAGGTCCCCAGTCGCCTCCCTAAATCGCAGGGATCCGCGGGAGCCCGATCGCTGGTCTCCTGCTGTTCTCTGCTCTGCCAGCCTGGGTTTGCAGATCGACTCGGGCTCCGTGTGGATTTGTGTGTTCCCGGCTCGCCCCCTGCCCGAGGACTCTCTCTCTCCTTGTCTGTGGTTCAACTTCAATCTGATCTGTTGCAGAACTCTTAACCTGGCCTCATCAGGATTCGCTTCTGATTTGGAAAATTCGAGTTTTTGTGTGTAAAAGGCCCCGTAAGTGGGAAAAATGAGAAAGTCCTATCAAATTAGACGTAGTTGAGACCGTTTAACCTCGGTTTCGTGTGTGTGTGCAATTTTCAACACCAGAAGACGCACAGTATTTTTTTAATCAATGTGATGGATTTGGTAAGCAAAGGATGGCTAACGGAACCTGGAAAAGGTGACCTCTAAATTGCGGCGATTAGCTTGTGAAAGACATTACTATGTAATATTTTTGCCATATACTTGGTCCATATAAGATAATTCGTTGGGTTTTTTGGGGGGTTTTTTTGCGTTTCCAGTAGTCAAAATTTTTGGTGATCTTGTGCTAGCAGTTCAAACTACCTAAACTCTTAAGTAGAAAGTCACGCCCTTGTAATTTATTTACCTTAGCAGGGAGATCTATAGTAAGATGAAATTTTCTCCAAAAAGAAAAAAGTCCCTTAATATTTTTGTAACTTGGGATCAGTTGGGTGGCATGCCCAATATCTTCTAGTCATAGCCAGTATTTTGAAAGTTACTGTGATTGCTTGTTGGTGAGTTTTTATTTTGGAGTAGGGTAGTGACTTAAAGCAGTACCGTGGAGGTAATCATGTTTCAAGTACTAAGAGCAATACAATTCTTGATAGGGTAATTGACATATTACTTGAGATCCAGTAGAAAGTGAATTTACACCCTCAACTCTATTTTGACCTCTCTTTTCCCCTACTCTAGTACTAATACTGTTAATTGGCAAAGATAGGATTAGATTTTTAGCAGCCTCTGCAGTTTTAATTCTGTCTCTCGGTGTTCGGTGCTGTAATTACTGCAGTGGTTTGTTTCCTTGTTTCATAATAAACCCATTTTGAAATTGTGTGTGAAATGACACCTGAAAACGAATTTCTATTTTCCTGTGCCAAGCTGAATTACAATTGAACATGTTGGCAAAATGCTTTTTGTAGCTTAAGGAACCCAGGAGAACTAGGCAGTTAGTGTATGCTTCAAGTGCTGTGGCCGAATTGGTATACAACTCCAGCAGTTATTACACATCTGAGTCAGTTTCTCCATTTGTAATTTAGAGCTAATAAAATGTGCACCTGTTCACCTAGAAAAGGCAGTGAGACCCATATAAATTAACTGAGAAGACTTTTGAATGCAGTTTGAATCTGGTTTTGTTTTGGTACTGTGGATTTCAGTTCTGTTGAAATAGTAAGTGTCTGTTCATGTGCCTTTGCTTATGAGTGGATAAAAACTCAGTATTTCTCTCATACTACGGTTAGAATCAGTGTAGACAGGAAAATAAGAGTGACAGATTCATCCTAATTCTCAAAACTAATTTCTACCTGTTAAAACTTTCTCATGTACATGATTCCATTTGCTTCTCAAACCCAGCATTATGGGTTTGAGAGGAACATTTTCACTACTGCTGATGTAATTGATGGAGCCCAGAAAAGTTAGTGATTTGAATTGATTCTGTCAATTTGGGAGCTCTGGTTACATGTGGTTACATTTTGGACTGCCAACACAAAGTCAGCAGTTTGAAACTACTAGCCACTTTGCTGGGGAAAGATGAGGCTCTCTACTACCCTAAAGCAGTGGTTCTCAACCTTCCTCGTGCCGAGACCCTTTTATACAGTTCCTCATGTTGTGGTGACCCCCAACCATACAATTTTCGTTGCTACTTCATAACTGTAATTTTGCTACTGCTATGAATCGTGCGACCCTGTGAAAGGGTTGTTCGACACCACCACCACCACCCCTCAAAAGGGGTTGCGACCCACCAGTTGAGAACCACTGCCCTAAAGGGTTCTAGCTATGGAAACCTAGAGGCAGTTCTACCCTGTCTAATAGGGGCACTGTGAGTCAGAATTGACTTGATGGCCCTGAGTTTTTGCTTTTCCAACTACTCAGATCTAGTATATTAGTGGTTACTGCTATATAATATGTGCGCCATTGTGTGACTATACCTGATTCTGTTCTGTTGATTCCAGTTAGCTGTTCTTAAACAGTATGCTATGTGTATTTTCTTAGGTGCATGTGCAAGAATTCCTCTAGGGCAGTGGTCATGACGCTAGACCCCTTTTATTAGAGAAATTGTTTGATAACTTCTCCATTATTAGGCTAAAATGAAATTCTTAATAATGAATCTTGCAAAGCAGTAATACTTTTTAAGAGATGGAACAAAAGGTATATAAATTGTCAAATATAAAACTGATGATCGGCTCTTTAGACCTTCACCCAATTCACAATAAATTGTTGTGGTTTTTTGTTTAATTATTAATACGCTTATTAAAATAAAGACATAAAATAGTGTGTGATTCAGAATGAAAATACTTGGACTCAGCTGACCCATGTCACCAAATACAATAACAGTCTAGCAAAGGTCGCATCCTCTGGGGCTTGTTAGAAATGCAGACCCTCACACCCTATGCCACAGTTCAAGAAGATTCTCGTGTGTTTTGTGTGCATGTTGAGATCTGAAACGCACTACTAGAATGTTCTTAACTCCTACCTTGCAGTATCACTGAATACATCTGCTACAAAGGCAAATTGGAGCAAGTGTAAGGAATTGGCAATTCCAATATCTAAGGTAGCACCATTGTTAGTGATAAAATGACTTTTCTGTAATAATTACTTTCAGTAAAGTTTGACTAAAAGTAAAAGAGTAGTCTTCATTCTTCCCTCAGTAGGCATTGGTTTCATGCTGAAAAATCTTCATCTATTTTAGAACAATCCATAAATGCTTGATGTTAACTCCTGTTTGTAATGGTGTTCCCTCGTCAAGCCCACCAATTAAATGTCCTGCACACTATTCAAATGTCGTGAGACATTAAGAGACAGCATATGCTTATGCAGGAAGAGTGCCTGACCATTGTTGCGTCCCTCATTCATGATGATAACCAAAGAGCCCTCTGAGAACACCCTCCCGAGCATATAAATCTAGTGCCCTGTTTCCCCGAAAGTAAGACATCCCCCAAAATAAGACCTTACAGTTTTGCCTCTCACTGCAATATATGACAGCCCCCCGAAAATAAGACCTCCCTGAA